TACTCTTTTTTCTCAACAGAGGACTTTGCACATAATCAGTTTTTTTGAGGCAGTGTCTCCCTGTAGCCCCAGCTGTCCTAGAACTCACTATGTAGACCAGCCTGGCCTTGAGCTCACAGAGATCCACCTGCCTCTGCTTCCTGAGTGCTGGGATTAAAGGCATGCGCCACCGCCCCCTGCCCAGATCAGTTTTTGATGCAACATTTTCATCTCAGGAGATAAGTGCATTCAGATGGGCACATACACTGAAAAGCATACTTTCTGTTCTTTAATTAATCGAGATGTAGAGTGTGACGGGTTTGGGTAAAAACAAAAAGGCAATTATACACTAGCCATGGAATGCATCCATACAAGCAGATCTTCTCCCCAACTCATCTTCTCTTTCTGACCTCTGAGGATTTGCCTCCCACTAGTGGGCATGGAACAAGAAAATTTTCAGCCTTTAGAGAGATCAGAGCATTAAAAGTGAAGTAACTGTGCAAAATGATCAGAACACTCATCACTAATTTTCCTGCGAGGGTGTGTATATCATGCTGAGCATTGGTGTGAGGGCCTCCAAAATCTTAGGGCTGAGTGTGCTGAGCATTGCAGAGACTAAATGATGCTATCATCCCATCTCTCACCCTCTCCACTGAGATGCTCATGTCCCTGGTGATTGAAATCTACTATTGAAATCCAGGCAAAGGCTTTTGCCTGAACCATGGGATATAATCACTTCCTCATAGAAACTGTAAATTGATTAATTTTCAAAAATAAATTTATGTTGCAATTCTAGAATGTCAGTAGTTTCTGATTTTTGAAAAGTCATGCCTTCCTTTGACTTCTATAGATACATAATGTGTCAAATATCCTTTCCAAAAATTGACAAACCTGCCCTTCTGCATACTGCTACTGACAAACTGAAGTGTGCTCACTTTAGTTACTTTATAAATATTTTGGTACTAATATATCACTCCTAACTGGGATTTGAAATATCTGAGCTTGGAGGCCTAGAGATTGAAACCATCACACTCTGCCCTCTAAACATGCATAATGATAACCTATCATTTAAAACCCAATAGAAACATTAGCAATACTGAAAACATTTAGAAACAATTTCTAAGGATAAGATTTAGTTATTCAACTAGCATTTTCCAGCTCATTTTAAGCGTGCCCCACTTCCTGATTGTTTTTTCTTCCACTGCTTTCCTACATCCTCTTTGGGCATCTCTGACAGTTCTTATTATCTCCTTTAATAACCCCACAGTGGTAGTTATTCACAGCTGCTCCTTGCTGATTGCTTCCGTTGGAATTTCTTAAACTACTAGACAATTCTTTGTTATGGGGGCAGCCCTATGTATTGTGGGGTATTTGGTGGAATCCCTGGCCTCTGCATGCTAATGCTGATAGCAACTCCCCATACTCCTGACCAGCAACATCTCAAACATTGCCAAATGTTCCCTGGGGCAAAAATCTTCTATGGTTGAGAACCAGTGTCTTACCCTATACTGGATATTACTTCATTTGATTCTACAGTAACTACATGTTATAAAGGTCTCTACTCAACAGTGTCCATCAGAAACAGGCCTCTTTATCTTAGGCAATAAGTTTAAGGAAGGGCAGGGTGAATAAGAAAAAAGAAAAAGATTTATAGAACTTGCTATCTTTTGCAGCATTGCTGATTGACACAGGTTTACAATGAAGTGAACAGGGTTAAAGAACCTGCTTAGGAGTGTGGGGACACCCAGAGAATGACATCAGCAACACACCATTCTATTCATAGGGCCAAAGGATGAAGAGAAATTGTTTTACCATGCTAATGCCATTGAGCAGTGACATCCGGGGGGGAGAGGTGGGAATGTGCAGTTATGACATGATAAGCACCCTCACAGGGAGAATATAAGATGGCCTTGCCCCTCTCTCCTCAGTCCTCTTATTAACAGCACATCTGCCAGGAGGTTGAGTCCACATGGAATTCAGCTACTTCCACAGAGTAAAGTGATGTAACTCCAGGATCCACAGATCCATGGGATCACAGAAGGAAGCTCAAATCTCTTGGACAAATGGAGAAAATTCAGAACAAATGAGCCAATCCCTATTTTCACATGAGAATTGAGGGAAGTAACATCCAACAACTCATCCAGAGTCAAAGAGCTAATGTGTGGAGTGACCATTAACATACGTACATCCTTGTAGCTGATTTGCAGGGAAGAGCTGGTGTTTGGTCAGGCTGTGATGCAGGAGGAGAACCCAGTTCTCATTTCTAATCTGGCATTTACTCTTCCATGACACTAACAGCAATTTAAAAACTGTGTGTCCAGCTTGCTCAAATAGAGAAGCATAAGAAAGAGTAAAAGGTGTCTGCCAAACTTCAGAAGTAATTTCTTATGAAAGGATTCTGAGATTCCAGTTGCATATTGAATATCTAAATTGCATGTGCTACTTTTCTAAGCAATCATCACATTTTGTCTTAAGTGTAGACACTGAGCCCCAGTTGGTGTAATATGTTAGGAGAAGGAGGACAGGATTGATCATGGGGGATTTGAAACCAAGCCCTGCCTTTGGCCTTCCTAGCTGTATAACCCTCAGCAAAACTGCCAATCATAAGAGTTCTACAAGCCTCTTACCTCTCTCGTTTACAAGGACCTTAGGTTACTCTCAGATATCTGACTGAATGATGGCCACATCTTGTGAAGTCGAAAGGTTTAGGCTTTGTTGAATAATCAGGCATCAGGCTTAGAAAGCACTGGAATCTCACTTGAAACTCCATTGCTGGATAGGACATCACACAGACCCTCTCACTAGAAATGCATGCCTTCTGGATTCCCTGTCTGCTGTGTTTCGAAGTGATAGTTCAGTGCTTTGTTCCCTCTGTACAGCTAGTTTGTATTGTTCATCATAACATTGTGTCTACATCTCAGTTTGAGAATCTCATTTTGTCTGAGGTTCATAGGCTAAAAAACAGAGAATGCCAATACTGAAAGTATTGGAGTCTTGCAGTCCCTTCGCTTCTACTTTTTTTGATATTTTTCAGGCACCGTATCATATACAACACAAAAATGATATAACCTCCTTTATTTTTGTATCTGAACTTTTTTCAATTTCTATTTCACTTAGTCAAGTCCAAGAAAACCTCTAATGCAGTAGTGCTCAGTTCAAGTTCACACTTGCAGAGAAGGGAACAGGAGAATAAAGACAAATAAGTATGGATGTTTAAAGTCTGAAAGTGAAGAATGGCGAGCCTTTAAGCTCTGTTTGCCTTGTACATTGTAGCCTGGCAAAAATATATTCTTACAAATGAACCATTTTCACTCTTCAAAAGCTCCAGCTATGTTAGGGTTAGTGTGGTAGATTAGTGGTGCTGTCTTATAATTTTTATGATGTTCCACAGTAAGGAAAAGTAAAGAATCAGTATCTAGAATGCTTAGGATAGATCAGAGTGCTTGGGTACAGATCCTGGGTTCATCTTCTGTTACCGCTGTAACGTTCGGCAAATTAACCAACCCTCTGTGGTTTGATTTTCTCATCATATTGTCACATAATAATAGAATCAATATCATATTAATTTTTCTGGTTAATAAGCTTCTATTGATAAAATACTTAAACCAGTATTGAAATAGAAAACATGACATCATGTGAGCCAATACCATATGAATGTTTTATGGCTAATCAAGTTGTTATTAATAAAATACTTAGGACAGTATTGGAACATAGACAGCATGATATAATATTGAGTGTTATCAGAAATACCCTTATCACTATCACCACCAGCATTACCACCACCACCACCTTCATCATCAGTAATAGACTTTTTAAAATATTTTATTTATTGGCTGGGTGTGGTAGTGCACACCTTTAATCCCAGCACTCAGGAGTCAGAGGCAGGCAGATCTCTGTGAATTCAAGGCTGGCCTGGTCTCCATAGCGAATCCAGACCAGCTGGGGCTACAGGGAGACCCTGTCTCAAAAAGACCAAAAATTTATTTATTTATAATTTTTATGTGTATGTGTGTATTGCCTGCATGTAGGTAAGTGCACCCTTATCATGCAATGCTCGTAGAGGACAGAGGCTGTCAGATCCCCTGGAACTGGAGTTATGGATGGACAGTTGTTAGCTGCCATGTGGGTGCTGGGATTAGAACCCAGGTCTTCTGCAAGAACAGTCAGTGTTCTTAACCACTGAGCCTTCTCTCCAGCCCCGATAATGGACTTTTATACACAGAGACCACCCAGTGCTTCCATTCCTCAAACATAATTATTTAAAAAATCTATTAAATGCTAGCCACATACTTCTCTTACCGGGAAGAATTTAGCCAAAGAAATAGTAGCATACATACAGATAACAACTGTGTATTTGTATTTTCAAGTATACACCTTCACTCTAAACTTTCAATTCTGAGTTGGTCAGCCTCCTTCCTCATTGATTGGAGACATGGTATACAGAAAATCCTACTCACAGCAGTTTATTTTGTGTTATTCCACTGAGTATATTTTCCCAGAGTTTTAGGCTAGAAAGTACTGACAAAGAAGTATTCCAGAAGTCAGAATTAGACATAAATTATGCTCTGCAAAGGGGTCTTCTTATTACCAGGAGTCAGGGCAGAGTCTCCAAACTCACATTAAGTTACTGTTTTTGTGGTTATTGAGTTTCACCCTTGAGAGAATTAAGAGGCCAGCCAATGAGTATCATAAATCTTACTCAGACCTAAACATAATTAGTGATTAAACTTTCCATTAACAATTGTGATTGTGCTAGATAAAATAAAGAGAAAAATTATTTTTGCTTCCTTTTCGGTTTCATGTTTAGAGAAGTATAAAATTTTTCTGCATCTTTTATTGAATGATTACTACAGCTGTCTGTTTAATTTATATTCAATGCCTTATTTATATGCTCTGGTTTTTAATTTGAGAGGAAGGGACCAGGAAAAGTTAGGCTTTAAAAAATTTTAGACACAGGAGCAAGACACACATTGGCTCTTTATTTTTTAATTTTTATCTATTTTCTTTGTCTCAATTCCCAGCCTCTGAGCCCAACTTGAAGGTGCGGTCCAGGTTAAAACAGAAAGTGGCAGAAAGGAGAAGCAGCCCCTTACTCAGGCGGAAGGATGGAAATGTTGTCACTTCATTCAAGAAGCGAGTGTTTGAGGTGACAGGTAATTGAGGACTGGGTAGTCACACGCTAACACATGCTGGTCATAGGAATTAAAAGTAGTTGAGAATAAACATACCTGCTGCTTACCAAAACTAATTTTAAGGAGAACTATTTCTTAGAAGGCGAGTTTTTGAAAATCGAGATAGCTCAGTAAAGCTTTCTATGTATTCACCAGCTGTAGAAAGCAGGAAATGAAAAAAAGTAAAGAAAAGCTATGTGTCAGTCAGGGCACAGCTAGGCCACAGGAAAGCCAAGCATGCCCTGTTCTTTTCAGATTCTAGCAGTCCATTTGGGGAATGCCAACCAGGAGGCTCTAACTTTTAATGAAATCTGATCAGAAATGAGCAGAGGGAGGTTCAAGAAGAGCACTCCCCACCTACTCAGACATGAATGTACAGAATACATCTGGGAAAATTAAACTATGTGAAACAGCAAAACCTTGACTTTTCAACAAATTTACAGAACTCATAAATGACTTTATGTGTTTACTAGTGAACTGGGACTTATGGCAGGAGGGGGAAATACTGCTTTTTATGAAGGGAAGAAACTGTCATTTTCACTAGTCTCAAATGGAAAAGTTCATATTTTTTTAGCTGCCTGGTTAGTCGTGGACTGAACAAGTGAGGAAATTTAACCTGATGTCGTACGAACCCCCTTTAGTCCCAGTTGTGCCTGTTTTGAAATTAGAAAAGGACTCAGGATACAAGGACTGAAAGGCAAAGCACAACAATCCTGACTACTGCATATTGGGTACTTAGAGCCATTCATTTTACCTGGGCATTGCCTTAGATTGCAGGAAGAGAGACTTTATGATCTGCAACCATTATTCCTTTTTTTTTTTTTTTTTTTTTTTTTTTTTTTTTGAAAAAAGGGCCCTTTTTTTTTTTTTCTTTTTTTTTTTTTTTTTTTTGTGTGGCTGCCTCCCGAGTGCTGGGATTAAAGGCATGCACCACCACGCCCGGCCCTATTCTCCATTCTTAAGAAAAAAAATGTACTATCAATATAGTCAGTTAGGGTTCATTCTTTCAAATCAGATATTACCCTTAGTATTTTTAAAAATTCTGTTTCCTGTATCTTTTTTGCATATGACTAGTCTAGGGGAACAGTACAGAAGATCCTGAAAATGGAGTTGGAAAAGGATATTCAGGTATAAAATTGTTTAGGTTTTCACAAAATAAAATAACTTTAGTCTTCTCTCCAGTCCTGATAGGTTGTTTTGCATATATAAAGTATTAGCGATTGCATTGGAAATTTTTTGCATTAAGGAATAAGACATGTTAAGGAAATGAACAGTAAAATATAATATTTTGCCAGCGTTCATCTTTATTTTCAAGTATTAGTATAATTACAAAATTATAGCAATGGAATTCTAGGTTTGAAATTAGAAATTTGATTTTCTTCAAGAATTTTTAATTTTATGGGCTAAAGTATTTCTCAGGAAATACTTGAAGAGTGACTTGTGCATTTATTATCCAAACAGTTTCATCCTGGGAGCTGGTACTGGTAGATGCTTTGATAGATTATTTTTTTAAACTGGTATTTCCACTGACTAAAAATATTTGGAGGATGTAAACTTCTAACACTGGTGTCTTCACCTGTGCTCATTCCCATTTCTCAGCCCACTGCCCTCTTAGATGAATTCTGCATCTCGATAGCAAATGTTTTCAGTACCCAATTGGGCAGCCGCCACAGGGCAGAGTAACTGAATTCCCATGGATGCTGATCTCTTTCTGCCCTTTTCTCTTCCCCTCCCATGGGCTCAAGTTTATGTTTTTTTGCTCTGTCTCCTCCTAATAGTTGATATGTGGGAAGAAGTTTCCATTTTGTACCTTTTCAGATTCAATAATTTCCAGCCTCCATTCCTCCAAAAAGTCTTCTTTTAAAATTCTAGATGCTGACCTGCCCTGTGCCCTCCATGATGTTCTCCCCTCATCCTCCATACCTCCTGTTTCATGAGTTATTATCCTTCAAACTCCAGTTCCAATGTCACTCATTCTCTGGGATTTTTCTCTTACTGACAACAGCACTGGTTACCTGCTCCCAGGTCCTAACCAGTTTGTGATGCTGTAGAATCCTGTCACAGTCGTTCTATGCTGAATTCTGGTGCTTTATCACATTTCCATAATGAAACACTTTCATCTGAATATCATTTAAAATAAGTCATAAAATTATGAAGACAGAAAGTTTAAGAAAATAGTTTTTAACTTGGAAATAATATGGAAATGAAACAAAGTCATACAATAACTATAGGAGTGAGGGAAAGGAAGTCCTGGTAAGAATTTTTTTCAAGTACATTTCCTTTTCAAAAGAAAAGTAAGTTATGTGAACATGGTGGTGCATTTCTAACATCCCAGCACCCAAGAAGCAGAGAGAGGAGGATCAAGAGTTCCAGGTTACTCTGGGTAAATAATGTAACTCTGATTCAAAGAAACACACAGAAGAACAAGCATTGCAGAGGTATTGTTGAAAAAGACTGTATTAATCAAACTTGATTGAGATATATGGACAGAAAGCTAGCAATAAGACTAGTTCTGATCATTTCACAGTGTTGATAACTGGTTCAACTGCCATAAAAAGTAAATGATAGGATCCAAATTCAGTCACCCATTTCACATTCTTCCTAATGGCACTGTATTTCTGAGCAGTTTTTTAAAAAAAAAAAAAAAAAAAAAAAAAAAAACTTCAAATAGAAAGTTGAAAGTTAAAAGTTGTTCTGAGGGAGGTCAAGACAATATTATGTGGAAATTGGGACAGAAGGTGTGTAAACCCAACTGCACTAACAGGTGGGAGGAGGCCTTCAGTGATGTAAGTAGAAAAACAGGTGGGTGAGAAAACATGACAAGGGAAAGAGTTTGTTCTTATAGAGTGTAAGTGGCTTAACTTGTTTGAGGGCAGAAAGGACAATAGTAAGAATAAATGAGGGTCATAATGAAAGTTTTCTGTAGGATTCTACTGGAAAGAATTTGGAAAGCTTTTAGAGACTGCTGCAGTGACTTGGGAATGGTAAGAGGCTTTTGCCATAGCTCAAGAGAGAATAATAAGAACTTAAACAGAAATGACTGCAGTCAGACATCTGTGAGCTACTGTAAGAAATGTAAGGACTGGAAGTGATTAGGGGAAAAAAGGAACAGGGATGAGTCTAAGGGTGGGGATAAAATACAGACAGGAAACATGTTACATTAAAATATGTTGAGTTCCACATACTTCTATTTGGCAATTTAAAGTATCCAACATTCTGAGGCTGAAGAGATGGCTCAGCGGTGGAATGCTTGCTTCTTTTCCAGAGGATCTGAGTTGGCTTCCTGATACCCATGTCAGACAGCTCACAACTGCCTGTAACTTTAGCTCAGGGGATCTCATGCTCTCTTCTGGCTTCCGTGCGCACATGCACACACGCACATGCACACACACACACACACACACAAGTTAATAAAGAAATAAATTAACTAAAATTAAAATCAAATCTTTATTAAAGGTCCAACATTCTGGAGGAATTCAAGCTAAAGTTTTTGAGAGTTAAAGGCAAGAAATATTACTTTCATCAGAGTATTATGTGTAAAGATGACATTTAATATCAAAGAAAAGAGAAAGAAAGAGATATGGCCACAAACCCAAGTGAATGTGTATTAGGGATTGATAGAAGGAAGGACAGAGAGGGGGAATGATGAAGGTATAGGATCAGAAAGTTGGAGGTTGTTTTGGCAAAAACTTTGAAATTCAATGGCACTTGAGAGTTGACAGTGAGGAAGCCATGCTGCCAGGCATAAAAGAATGAGTAGGCCTTCAGAGAATATTGCTCCAAGAATTACCACCATGTGGTCAAACCAGGGAGAAACCCCAGAGGACATGGAGGGCAAGAGAATGTGATTCAAAACTCTTGAAACAGGATAAGGAGTTGGGATTGTGGGCAAGAATAAATGCTGATACCAGAAAGGGGAGAGAAAGAGAAATGTCTAGTCTCTGAAATGGATAAACAGAACATAGGTAACATAATCACGTGACAGAAAGAATCTGTGCAAGCGGGAATGAAATCCAAACCTTCAAGCTCTGATGAGGTACCATCGTGTAGTTGGGTTACTACCATGTGTAGATGAGGCATTTAGGAAACAAGGGAAAGGGCTGTGGAGGATGACAAGGAAAAACATCAATGAATAATTGTCCAAAGCTTGATATGATGACTTCTCCAGCTGTATTTTTAGGAACTAGAAATTTCTACTTTTAATGAGATAGTTTATTAAGTATATTAGCTTCTTTATATGTTGAGATCAATGTGAATTTTGTGTCTGAAGAAGTTTAATAAATAAATCATCTATATTGCTTTCAAACTTTTACTTAAAGGAATTTCTTGTTAAATTGATATTTAAATATTTATACCACAAAGTTTGGCAACTTTTCATCTTCTAGAAAGTCAATTGGGTAAAATTAAAGTCAACTGATGTTTTACAAGGCCATAAGTTCAATATTGAGTTTTTTTATATTCTTTTTTATTTTTCTTCATTTAGTTTGGCCCAAATATACTGTAAAAAGATATAAACTTACTATTTAAAATACAGAGTTTCTAGTTCAGCATTTACACAATTTTTCCAATCCCAACAGAAATCACCCTGGGTCTCTCGCACATGTTGACAGTTTGAAATGATTATATGTGCAAAGTCGTTATCTCTTTCCCTACTTTTTGTAATATCAGGAGAGCAAGTGAGAGAATATTCCTTTTAATGTACCTCATCATTAGCTTCTGTGAAGTATGATGTGAAAGTATCTGTATTTTTCCAGACACTGTTGAGTACCACGTGGTACTTCTTGGGGCTGAAAACAAAGGGCAGAAAGTAACATGGGAATTTAGAAGCATGCCGTGCATTCCGTCAGCTCTTCACGCACAGTGCTTCTCTTCACACAGGTGTAAAGTGAACCTATGCCTAGTGCTGTGCATCGCAGCTAGTGGGCTCATCTTGGCGTGTTGTTCATGAATGCATTTGCATGTCACAATGTTTTTCAGAATCCTCAGTCAGTAGCAGTTCTCCAGGGTCAGGTCCCAGTTCACCAAACAATGGGCCAACTGGAAATGTTACTGAAAATGAGACTTCGGTTTTGCCCCCTACTCCTCATGCTGAGGTAAGAGCCTTATCTCTCTGCTTCTTCTAGAAACTGGTTCCTTGATGAGCTACCTAATTCAAAGTGCCACCTCTGAAGTGGAGCTTCCTCTTTCATGCATTATAAACCTGTAAGACAGAAACCAGGTGTTTACTAACTGATATGAATAACGATTGGTTGGGTTTCCTAATATGTTTTATATTAGTTGTTGATTTTTATTTGAGTTTGAGTGAACTTGATTGCATTTAAGATCCAGGTTTGGAAAATACTAAAAAGCAACCCAAAATAATATATTCTCAGCAATGCTGAGTCTGCATTATCAAATTGTCTGCAGTTCCAACTACTCTTGGCTACTGTTTAATCCTGATTGGAGCAGCCCATCACTAAGCCAACCAAGTTCATATAAACCTCTTAGAATATCAACTATCAAGGTGGGTTTTGGTTCATTTTACCTGAAGTACAAAGAAAAATATTTAGAGTTTGCATTATGATGGAGGGACAGAGAGCTCCACAGAGCAAGAGTTTATTTAGTACCTACTAATTGGTAGTCTTTTTCCCTGCCAATGTGGATGCAAAGATAAAGAGTGTGTGGACTCCATCCATGAAAATGACTCACTGAAGAAAATTTCTGTGAGGAAGTATCATTTATTGTAATCAATGATACAAGACTAAGAAGAAAGTAGAAGTCAGCAAGAGATTGTGTGCTCTCTGTATTAGGCTACACAAAAGTAGCAGTCTGGAAACAGCCACTACTATGGCACTGACTGTATCACAGTCCCTTTCTGTTGACTGAAAGCTGAATTCTTTCGTCCCGTCCTTATACTACCTCCTCTTCTAGATGTCCTTTCAACTGTCCTTTACGTACGGAGAGTTGGCATGACAACTCCTTACATGTAACTGTTGCTTGCTTCTTCCTTTGTATTTTATAAACTCATGATACTTTGGGACTGAGAGAGAAAGATCAAATCTATCTTTCATGAACTTTACCTGTAGCTTCTCTGCCGTGGGATTATCCACACTGTACCAAGCACTTCTACCTTTAGGGAAATCACATTGTTGTCTCATGGCAAAATCCAGTTGCTTTTAAACAGTTGCCTTCACTGATGGAAATGTCCTCCAGACAAGTTATCTAAGGCCTTGTAATTTCATATATATATATTATATATATTCATATATACATATCACTTGCACACAGAAACAGATATGCATACATATAACAAATTATTGGACACTGTGAAAGCATTAGGTCACAATATAAGTGAAAGCACCAGGGGTTTTC